AGAATAGAATAGAATAGAATAGAATAGAATAGAATAGAATAGAATAGAATAGAATAGAATAGAATAGAATAGAATAGAATAGAACAGAACAGAACAGAACAGAACAGAATAGAATAGAATACATTCTATAGTATTCTATTCTATACAAAAGAAATCAGCTGATATCTTGATAATTAAAAGAGATACACAAATAACAAACCAAGATAATATCTTGAATAATTTTGCTATATCGAATTTATAAAAAATAGCATGTTAAAGTTTTGTAGAACTTTGTGAAAATTAAAAAACAAAAAATAAAAAGAAATCAATTTCTATGATATTTGAATATCAAAATTATTACAAAGAATGTAAAGTTGGTTTATTTGATTGAGGTTAAAATAGACATGTTATCTCTGGTAAACTCAATGGACTTTTGCTGACAACAGGACTGAAATGATTTTTATGGATTTATGGGATGAAATTTATGGATTTGTTTATATAAATAAGAGATACGGGGAAAAGAAATCATTTGCTGTATTTTAGAGATAAGTTACTACAATTGTTTACATTTGTGATTAAATTGGGAAGTCAGTTCTTTATATATTTTATTTTTCTTTAATTATATTCTTATCCTTTCTTTCTTTTTCCCTTTTTTCTTTTCTGCACTTTCTACTTTTTTCCAGTTTCTATTATTTTTACTGTTGTAATTATTATCTTTAATAAAATTATGATTAGAAAAAAAGCAAGAAAGGAATATACTTTTAAAACCTTTTTCTGTTTTTCTCTTTAGCATTTCTACTTTTAATTGGCTGATTCCAAATTCTAGCCTGACCAGCCAAGCTATTATATTTTATGAGGAATCTGGAGCCTGTGTTTTTGCATGTTGTGATTAAATTAACTTTATTGCTGAAAACATGCAACTGTATTAGATAGAAAGGAAAATATTTTTCCCATAGGATCTCTGCTTCTGGAATAGGGCTAAGGGGGGGAAAAAATCAATTATGTACAATAAGGGGAGCCATACCAGCAACTCCAGCCTGCATGACTATGGAGAAGAATCTTGGAACATCAAGAGAACAGTATAAGAGTACACCAGATTTGGTCCTCCATTACATATTTTACAAAATGGAGATTTACCCAGTGCCCTAGAAACTCAAATGATCTTTCTCTATATTGGGAGGATATCGAAAACCACTTGCTATCTTTTATAACTGAATGCTATATGACTTAAACAGTTAGAAGAAATTATCTTCTTTCCTTCTGTGTATTTTCCGTGGCTAGGAAAGAGATGACAAACATCCAGTTGCCAAGACGCCATTTAGAAAACTGACCTTTTCTGTAACATTGACTTATTTTTGGATTGCATGTATGACTGTGCTTGTTTCCACCTGACCTTTGCCCTCTCGTGTTTGAGAAGCGGAAACTTGCCATGGTGCTACAACCAAAGAACAGCAACTTTTTTTCTGAGCATTAAAGCATGGTGTAGTAATCCTTCTTGGCGGTGTTTTCAGTTTCATAAGTCTTTTGTAGCAGCTGGCTAAGAAATTAAAATACAAATCCTTATTTCTATGTTAAAACCTGCCAAAGAAAAAAGTCTATGGAAAATTATATTCTTAAGAGTCATATAATGCTTTTAAGTGCAGCTAGATTGGCTTGAAGGAGTGTCCTTAATGGCTGACGTGGAGTGAAATCAATTGCTTAAGTCACTTGATGATCTGTCCATACAGTTAGTTTGCCAGAACCCTTGGAATTGTGTGGCATGACTAGATTCATGACTATTCATACTGATAAAAAGTACAGTAAACTCTGATCCTCTGCCAGTCTTTGAATCATCAGTGATCTCTAGCTTTCAATATGAAAGAGGAAATGAAGATTGCACTCCAGATAAAAATTGTAAGTAGGTCTCTTAAGCTAGACCAAACTTTCAGGAAAAAAATAATAGGGCTGGCAGGTATGCAGACAAGATTCCTGGGTCATAAATTTCGCAGGCTTAGGGAACCAATGATTAATTAGAATGAGAATATTACATCTTTTTGATGAGTTTTTCCTCTTGTCCAAAAATAATAATTTGAGTCGCTATTAGAATTTGGAGATAAGCCTTAAAACAGGTTGATTTAGAATTAGCAGAATCTTAAGGTGCAGGGAAGGCAGGCAGGCATAAACATGATTAGATCTAAGGAAAGGCACAAATTGAATCATTTCATCTTAAGTGCTTTCTTTTTGGAGTGCCCTTGCATGTTTAATCAAAGTAAAATCAAAATATGCATACATAATTATTCAAAATAATTAGGATTCCAAAAATAATTGATTGCAAGATGTGGTTTTTAAAACTGTGTGATTGAATAAATCCCATATGGCTTTGTTTGAAAAGGTAAATAATACATATTTTACCAATCATAATCATTTTGTTTGTAAACAGGCTTGGTGAAGTGAAACAAGCTACATTAGATTTAGAACAGTGTTTCTCAGTCTTGATAACTTAAAGATGGATAGCCTTCAACTCCCAGAATTTCCTGGCATTAGCTCAGCTAGGGAAGTAATTCAAATTCAGAAATGCTGGTTATAGGAGGTATGTTTACTATCATTATGCTCTTGGGAACTGTTACTGATATTGGATAAGTGTAAACTAGTCATGCTGGCTAGCTGGAAATTCTAGTTCATGTAATAATGAGAACTGATTTTTTTTTTATAGATCTCTGTGACCACGCCTTACATCTCCCGCATGATGAACTGTGAAGGGTAAAGGCTGACTGACCTGGTAGAAGACTTTGCCTAATTCTTTGTAGACTACATCCCTTTTTACAAGCACCTATAATTATTGTCCCAGGAGTTGTCTTTCAATTTGGGGGAAAGTGCAGAACACCCTAGAAACTTAAGACTGTGTATCAGAGGAGAGGGGGGAAAAATTCCAAGGCAAGCTTCTTGATATAATTTTATGAAGCAAACACAAGATGACAGATCCAACATTTGACTTTTAAGCACACACACTAAATAGACTGTTTTATAAAAGGAAAGAGATTTCTATCATTATCAAAGTCCACTTTGCAGTAGCATTGACATTGTTAGTGTGTTCTAATTTTTAAAGAAAAAGATGCTTTGTGGTTGTATGCAAACTGAGTTGCAGATTGTCTCAAGCAACCAGCAATACAGCTTCCACATTCACTTCCAAAATAGAATTTGAGCAGAAGAATCTTACAAATGTTATTCTCACTTTTGAACTTCCAACTTATTTAAAGACCTGGGGCAGGACAATCATTTGTAAAACCTTTCTCTGAATTGGAAAGATAAATAGAACCTATAGGGATGCCCTCATTATAAAGCCAAAGAGGGGACCATTGTATAGCACCTTCCCAGTCTTCAACACAACTGTGAACTATGGTTGCGATGGCCATATGGAGGCCACATGACATTGTTATTGTGCAGGGATTGTTCCGTATTGTAGATGGAGTATTTGTAGAACATACATACCCAGTTGGTTATTACATGGTTCAATGTTTTTGTGTGAAGAGCCAACTGACCTCAGAAAATGGTCTCTAGGAATGATTGGCCGTATTACAGAGATTCTGCATAAAACATTCAGATCAGATAGCAAGCCAGTCTATATTGCCTGTATGTGGAGTGATAACCATACAACAGTCTTTTTATTGTCTTTTAAATTATTACATAAAATGGCTGCTCCCTTGCTGTGAGATGTGAGCGATATTCAGGAATGTGCTGATTTGGGGCATCAGACACTTGGAGAATGGGAAAGATGTGTTTCTTTTAACCTATGTTTTCATAAGAGGATAAAATACATTCCATGGTGGCTAGATAATAAATTGGAATTGGGTCCTACTCGAATTGGCTAGTGGATTTTCCCCCATTTTTAATTGAAAAGAATATGTATTAGAGCATTATAGAGCATATTGACTTTACTGCTATAACAATCTTAGATTTTTTTCCATCTTCGAACTGGGAGTTCAGTCACTTGCATCATCAAACAGGTAGCCTACCAGATTTATTCAAATAACGTCCAGAACCATGCTGGATTCATACGTCATGTTAAGCCAAAATCACACAATTCATTTCAAGCCTTTGATTTGCTTCCATTATATCCTTCAACTTTTACTACCTACTGTATGTAATATGAAATACTACTGGCCTGTCTTCTGGAATGGTGAAAAAGATTACTAAACTAAGACAAAGAATGCCATACTTTACCCTTTTACATGAGAGCTAATTAGGTAGTATGTGAATTTTTAAAAATCCACATAATACAGTTACTATAAAATGATTTTGTAGAGCTCACATACAGTGCTTAGTCATAAAATGATTTGTTTGGTTTTGACTTATATTGTGCAAACATGGCCAGCTGAAGTTTATTTAGTAAATATTTGTCAAACTATGGTTCAGTACAATATGAGTTAGATTGGTGTCTTCCATATCCTTTCAGTTTCCATTGGAAAGCAGTAAAACTTCTCAAAAGCAGCAATTGGTCGCATTTTCTGCCTTTACTGAAACATTTTTTTCATTAGACAGAAAATAATTTGCATTTTAATTTATTTACCAAAGGCAAGAAAAACAGTGAGAAGTCAGGACTTGCTGCATTCTAAACAAAAATTTCCAAGCATTTTTCAAAGGCTATTTAGTCTCCTGAAAGAGAAATTACCACTGACTAATCTCTACGTCTGTAGTTGTCATGACTTTTGTGGACCTTTCTAAAACAGGTATGCAGCTCTGTTAATTTGTGACAACCTGAAAAAAAGAATCACATGATCTTGGAAATACCAAAATCACATTTCTACAAGGAACAACCTTCACTCTCAGGGTCAAATTTGTGTGTTGCATCAGCATGGAAAAATTTTTAATTAAACATATTCAAAAATGGTTGTCTTGCTAAGATGATGTACTGTTGTCCCTCTTCTACTTGCACTGCATAGAAATTTACATAAATGGGAATTCTCTATATAAAAGGGGGATATCTATAGCTTGAATTACCCATAGACAAAAAGAATCCTTTGCAGTTTCAAAAAGGAATGCTAAATGACATTTTGGTTCAGTCTGAGGACTCTGCACTGTCATCTATCTGCTGTGTGAGAACACAGGCTAAAGGCAGAATGTGTATTTGGAACTTTGCTGGTTTCAGGAGGGTATGCAATAGGTAAGGCACTTAGCCAAATGGAGCAAGTGGCATAGACTAACCCACCAGCTAAGGCAAGGCCTTTGTCCTGCAATATCTCTTGCCTTATCGTTCTTCCCACACTCTTCTGATCTGCAATATGTCAATATTAGTTGGGTGATGTTGCACTACAGTACTGCATTGAAAGGCATACTGCTGACCTTTTCTCAGAAGCTGAAGGCATGGCCTTCATAAATTGCTTCAAGATTTGGATTTTTCCTATTCTTTTGCTTGAGACAAAGGACAAAATGATATCGTCTGTTGCTAACTGGACTAATTTAATTGTACTTTAAACACTGGAAAATTTAGTATGTTTGCTGGCAAAAGAGGGCCTTGTGGCACATGGTTCCTCCGCCTTGCAATTGCTTTCCATTTGCTTTATAAAGTTAAGTATATCCTTAAAAACTATCCCATTACATTATGCTATATGTAAGGTTGGCTGGATTCCAAACTACAAAACCAGCAATGAGCAAATTTCAATTTTTTAAAAGTTACATTAACTGAGGAGCACAAAGTGTGCGCAATGTCATCAGATGTGCTCTTTGAGCATGGGACTAGAGTCACACAATATTTTTATTCCTGTTTTAATCGCGGAGAAAATGGCCATTTTGCTGAAGAATTTTAGCATTTTTGGCGATTGGCTGCAGACCTTTCTACCCTTGGCTGAACAAAGCTGCTATATAAAATCAGGATCCAAACATCACACTAAGTCACCCCGATGGTGTTACCTAGTCGGGTAAAACGAAACGTCTGCAAGCAAACCAGCAACCTCAGAAACCACAAGTTTAATCCTGAGATACATATATTAACGTCTATTGGGGACAGATCCGTTCCATCACCACCACCACCACCACCAGCCCTCGCAAAACGGGAAGCCGAGGGCTCGCTAAAAACCAACGCCGCCGAACTTCGAGACAAGCGGGGACGCGCCCGGTTAAAGGCGCTTTCCCTCAGACGCCTCGTTCAACGTTCCACCCCACCCTTCGCGGCCCCTCCGCGCGCAGCGAGGCCTTGTCCATCCACCGCCTCGCAGCCAATCGCAGCGCGCCGCCGCCGCCGCCGCCGGAAAAGAGGCGCGGCTCTTCGGGGGCTAGAGCGACCGACTCTGTTAATGCCGCTTTGGGCCTTCTTTCCCAGCCTTGCTCCGCCCAGACGCTGCCAGAACCCCAGCCCGGCGCAGCCCGCTCGTCTTCTCCCTTACGCCGCCCTCCCTCCCCTCTTCCCGGTCTTCGTCGCCTGCTTTTCTGCCCGCCTCCAAGACCTGTTTCCCCCCACTTTTTTTTTTTTCCCGAGGGCGGGTTCTGCTTTCCCTTTCTCTGCCACACCACTTTCGGTCGGTGCTCGCCATGACCTTGTTGACTGCCGGTAGCAGGGCGGCCGCGCGCCTCTTGGGAGCCAAGGTGAAGGGTTTGGTGTTTTCTCCCCACTCCGTTCTGCTCTTTCCTCTTTTTTTTTTCCGGGGGATGGGTGGGGTGGATGAGGGGTGGGGTGGCTGTTCTTGCGAGCGCCATGACCGGGCGCGGGGGAGGAGAGAGAGAGAGAGAGAGGGAGAGAAAAGGGCTGCAAGCTGTCACCCCGCAGGGCGGTCTCTCCGCGTGGAAGTTCTCGGCGCTTCCCTTCCCACGTCAGGCTTGCACAGCAGCCCAAGTGCGACTTGGGCAAGGGTGTCTTGCGTCCCCCCACTTGGGGGGGGGGGGCAACCCTGCGGACACGCTCGGCATGCAGTGCCCTTGGATTGAGGCGGGCTATAGTCCACCCCACTTACCCTCCGCGCTGTCTCTCCAGCAGCTGAGATGAGGAGAGAGTAACGCTCAAATGCTCATTTTCACTCTTTATTCTCCTTTCTTACCCCCACAGTCGCGAAGAGATTATGATTTTAAAAGCTTCTGTCGCCTGGGGGTGCTTCCAGAAACGGGAGGGAGGTTGGTAGTTGGAGATTTGGCTCCTAAAGAAAATAAACAAACATACAAACTAACATAGTAAGATATCCCCTTCCTGTCGCCCACTTACCTACCCCCCTCCCCAATATTGTGAAGTTTGGCCATCTTGGCCCTTATGGTATTTTTCAGGCCTTGGCGGGACGGCTCACTTTTTTTTTTCCCCTTCCCCGTTCACGTGACCTCTGAAGGGGAAGCTCTTCTCTCCCTCTGTCATGTTCAGTTTATATACGATATACTCGAACACAATTTTAAGTTGGTATTTTAGGGGAAAGGTGCATGCGTGTTCCTTTGTGAGGCGAAACATACGGCCAGACTGCTTGAGCTGGTGGAAAGATCGCTTGGAAAATGTGTCTCTATTTCCCCTTCCTGATTTTCCTTCTATATTAATCAAGATAATAATCTGATAATTTGCAGAAACTGTCCTTTAGTAGATTGCTTGAAGGTGGTGAAGTCCACTGTTAAAGTGAGCTTTTTCTTTGTCAGTTTCTAGGGAGGCCCACAAAAAATGAAATACATGACTTTTATTTCAAATATGAAACAAAGGGGTTCATCCTCCAAATTATTTTGTCTTCTTTTAAAAAAACTGAGTGCAGTTTGGTAGAAATAAAAGCTGAAATATCTTTACTGTTCTTTGTTTCAATAGAATAAACCCCTGAAACTCTTCCTGATGTTCTGTCTATGGAAAGCAATAGGATTTGGATTGAGCATTTGGGACTGTCAAAATCTGGATGACCATTAGATAGCAGCAAAGAAAACCACCCAATTATAGGAGCTGAAAATATACCATCTGAACAACTTTCAACCCATGCCCACAATAAAACAGCTGTTTAGAGTTGTATCTGGGAAAAAAAATGAAACATGCATATTTTAGTTTGTGCATAAACCACTTGAAATTAGCTGTTCCTTGTACAAAAATAGTGTTACATCTGAAGAAAGGGTTAGGCCTGTGCTTTTTCCTGTATAGTTTGGAGTAGTAGTTTTCTAAAATTAACAACGGGATTATTGTTGCTGATTTCTTAATGTGACTGGTAATCAAATATATTGAAGGGGCTGAGTAATTCTCATTTTTCTGGTGCAAACTTGCAATTTTTTAAAGCTAATGAATATATTGGAACACTCAATTATATCATAATATAGTATAATAGGTAATAGTAATTTATGGGAACATGTTCTTGAAGATGGTAACTTCCCTCTTGGAATATTTTTTGGTAATGTTCTCTTTTGGCATACAGTTCCATTATATGACTTTTGCAGGAAGTTCAATAGCCTGTTTGATTTTGCCTTGCCAGGGAGTCTGCCCATGATCTATTTGTAGGGTAAACAGATTCTCTTTTTTTAACCTAGCCTCCAGACCTCTAAGTTCCCCAGCAAATAGATTCAAATGCTGATTCCAGAGCACTTATTTTTAGATTTATTTACCATTCCTGGTTCCCCCTCCCCCCCCTGCTGTACTCAGCATTTCTTCCCCAAAAGTTTAATCTGAGCCAATACTGGGTGGACCAGTGATGTGATGCTTTCATGTACAAGAAACATGGATAGTGAAGATTAGGATGAAAGCTAGATAAACTGCAATTGTAATGACCTGCATAAACAGCTGGTTTTTATGTTCTTAATCCCTTTTTACTTTTGACTGATGTTTTTTTTCTGTTTGGTTTATTTGTTTTTATGTATTTTATTATCTTCTGAGTATTTGCATTTCTACCACTTTTCAGTTGATTAGATGGAAGCTGGAAGTACTATTTTCTAGGAATAGGATATGTAACATGTTCTTGGGCTTTATTGTAGAATTAGGAATTTCTATGAACATCTGATTCTCTCTCCCATATTAGTTTTTATAAGTGGCAGCAGGTATTCCAGGTGCAGGAGCAAGAAACATTGTTAATAGCCTGAATTTTAGATACCTAACAGGATTTATCATACATGTTTTTCCAGAACTTTTAATACTTTAGTAAATGCTTTCTTTGGAAACCGTTTTCCAACCTGCAACCTGTATCCTATGGTGTCAATACACTTAAGGGAATGTATTCCCTTTCTTCTACAGGTTCCCTCATTTTCTGTGCATATGTTGGAATATGGAATATGCTCAAGAGCAAATGTATGGGAGGTTGACAAGAAAAGGAATGATAAACTTGTACTTCTAGAAGAACATTATTTTTAGTGTGACTTAATGGCTCCAATATATGATCACGGACATTATCTTGATAAGTTATTTAGAAGTGCTTGTAAAGGATATTTAAATATCTTTGTGGGTGGAATGTATTGTAATTGGCATGACAGGAGTTTGTAATGCATTAGTTTCATGTTAGGGAAACACATGTATTGGGAGTAAGTTACATGTTCGGGGAAAATGATGAAACCAGTGATTGGTTTCATGATTTTAAGCCTGGTATATTCTATGTACAGTGTGAAACTTCAGAGGTGGAAGTACGAATCCTTGGTACTTGATAATTTTGGGGAAAGCTGTAATTATAATTGGACTATTGTGAAATTAGATGCAAATGTGATTTACTTGCCTATCCTACTATAATCAGTGGAACAGGTGTCTGCCCACTTTCTATGCACAAAGAGGATATGTTGATTAGAAACCCAGTTTTGCCCTAAATTTCTGTTAAAAGCATGTTGGATATATTTTACCATCATCCAAGTCTTTATTTCTTACATGTTCTGAAAATAAAGGTGTGAGATTATAATCTGTTTCTGCAGTTATAGATTTAATTGTGTATTAAATGAGGAAAAGAAGGGTAGCTACTAAAAGTAAAATGAGGAAGTCCTAAATGTCAGTGAAGTAAAAACTATTAATCAGGCTTAGACCATTTTGATACCTTTGTCAAGAGCATTATATAAAATAAGGATTGATGATAGATAGATAGGTAGATAGATAGATAGATAGATATGCTTGTTATACAATAAGTAGACCAAATCCAGAAACATTTATTTGGTTGGAATGACTTAATAATAAAAAGCATTATAGAAGCATTAAAATGTATAGCTTGTTCAGTGTTACCTAAATTTTGAAAAAGACATGGAATCTCACATATATGCTTATGTTGACAAAACATCTACTTGTTGGAATGGATTCAGCTTTACTTCCTTTATAACCTTTATTTGACATTAGGAACATATATTGTTGGTCCTAAGAAGTAAATTTTAATACTTGCTGATTTTTGAATTAGCCAAGGTCTAACCTCTGGAGTTTCCCAAGTTTAGATTTTGTTGTATTTAAAATGAAACAATGCCCTTCCCACAAAAAACTGAAAGCAAATAACACTACACTGGTATGTTTTTAAAAAATAAATAAATGCAATAAACATATTTGACGACCCTATTTTGTGTCAGATAAGGAAAGGTGATTGATTATATCTTGTAAGAGACTCTCCAAGCTGTTTAGATAATAACTATTTTCTCATGGGGGGTTGCTTCAAGAGTTTCGCTTTGTATTGTCATATTAGTCTTAAGCCATAATGTTATTGGGGTCACTTTTACTCTTCCTCTTGGATACAGTTGAAAGCTGTGAAGAGAAAAGAAAGACTAATTGGCACTGCTGAATCTTACTTTGAATTGGCATCTTCTTACTGAAAATAACAAGAAGAGCCAGAGGTTCTTGCTTAACCAGTTGGGCGGGTTTCTTCTCTTAGTGAATTAACAGCTGTGCTCAAATACATTGGTAAGATTGCATCATTCAGGTGCTGATAACCAGGTTAAAATGACACAGAGGCACTTGGCTGGCCTTGTCTCACCTTAACTGTACTCATGATTGAATGGTGCATAGGGTGTCAGCTCATGGTGCCAAATATTGAGAGTTGTATGTTATTGGCATTTATTGTGGCAGTGTCCTCTAAATAATGAAAGGATCTGAAAATGGAAATAGTATTCTGTTTTTCTGTAAATGTAAGTACCGTACTTTTAGTGTCAATATTAAGAAGCCAAGCAGATCAAGCCTGATAATTTTTAATTATCCCTGGTAGATTTGGGAAAAATAAAACTGCAGGTGCAAGTCTCTGAGGGTCTCAGCATATCCTCTCTTCTGCTTTCTGAGTAGATTTATGTAAGTATTCCATAAACACTTGACAAATAAAAGTTGTCTTCTGTAGAAAGAAAATATTGGCCTGGATGAGGCTCTTTATCTATTATTCCTGACCCTATTTAGAAGGACAGGGTATGTGTGGATTTGATTTTCAATCTTTTTATTATATGTGTAGTGTAATATATGCTGCTACCACCTAGCATTTTGTGGAACAAGATTCGAGGGAATGAAAGCCAGATTTCTTCTGATAAGTGTAGCAAGCTGTATTATTGAGAATAGCTCAGCTAATCTGTTCTTTCTGGAAAGTGGGGCAGATTTTGTGTGGGATATAGTAATTTACCTATATTTATTAGTGCTTGGTTAGAGATTGCCTTGCATAGTAACCATTTGCAGTTACAACAGCGATGAAAAAGTAACTTTGGATCAGACCTTGCAT